CTAACAAAAATCAATTGCCCTTCACCTTACTCTTTTGATTTTTTAAAGAACATTATGTCATTCATCTAAAAAAACAAACCCCATTTATTACCAGACAACAAAAGTGGCAAAAAGTGATGGTACTTCTCTATGAAACAAAGATCCCTACCTGGTATTTTCAAGGGCAAGAAGGTTTTCAAAATGATTTTATTTATAAAAATTAGTGATAATGATGCAATTACACTTAATTTTCTTACATAACTGTTCTCTAACACTAACTTATCACAACTGAGAGCACAATTCCGCTCTTTCGTGTGGCCAATATTCTGTTTTAGAGTAATTATGGATTATTTTTAGCAAAAGATTCTAAATACGCATCCTTAATAGCAATATCTTCAACTGTTTTTCTCTAGCCTTTGGTGGTTCAGAATTATTTCAGATATCAAATAAAATTTAAGCCTACCTAAAGGCAGAGAATTAAAAAATCTTATACTGCCTCCTCAAATATGAGGGAAGTAACTAAAAGAAAAATAGGGGCGCCTGGGTGGCTCAGTCAGTTAAGTGTCTGACTCCTGGTTTCGGTTCAGCGTCATGATCTCATGGTCCATGAGTTCGAGCCCTACATCAGCTCTGTATTGACAGTGTGAAGCCTTCTTGAGATTCTTTCTCCCCTGCCCCGGCTCCGCCCCTTCCCTGTTCACATTTTCTCCCTCTCGCTCTTAAAATAAATAAATAAACTTAAAAAAAAAAAGAAGAAGAAGAAAGAAAAAATGAAAGAAATAAATGCTATATTTAAGCACATGGAACATTCAAGAACGTTCAAGAACAAATTTTGTGAAGTAGATCAGTCAGATAAAGAGAAGGAAATAATGTACAGCTGTAGACTCTCTGAAACTGGAGAAGGATGGGAAAGTATGAGAAGAGGAAAAAAAGAGAAAAGGGAAAATGACTATTACATCAATAACACAGTGCTTTGCATAAATGACAGAGAGTGAACTGGCTGCTGCTTTTCTCTGGAACAGTGAGTGGCAAATAATCCTCTGAATACCCAGACAGATATGTTCAAACTATAGCAGAATAACTTTGGTTTCTTCTGATCTGGGTCTCTGAAATGACCTCCTTTTATCACACTGGAAAAACAGGCAGCTTATTATTTCATGTATGTCATTGTTCCCCACCCTGTCCTCTAGCCTATTCTGATGCTGCAGATGTGTCCATAGTAACTCACCATTACAACTTAGTAATACTTACCGTTTAAAGTCAAAAAGAGGTAAAGAAACTTTGCCCAAAGCTTCTGGCCCCTTTCTCTGCTTATTAGAATCAGGGGAACTTCCACTGCTCTGATTTAAAATTCCAAAAAGAGTAAGGTGAAGAAGTGATTCTAATGGCAATTGTGATATCTGGATGGGAAAAATGATTCTAAGGGGGGAAAATGTATTAATAGAAAAAACAAATTAGATCAAATATGAAATTTAGTCCATTAATGAGACTGACAAGTTTAGATATTTTATTTGACTTATCAAATAATCTTTACTACTGAGTAACCTTTACTTATGCAGCAAGCTTGGCCAATATGCATTATACAAAATCTTAAACAAATTTCATTAAAATTTCAACTATGTAACATCTCTCAAAAATTTCTTAGTGCCTCTACTCAAGTCTTGGCTAGTGTCAATTTTAGGAAAAATAATAGTCATTTTTATTTCCTTTAGGAGAAACTAGATGAATGTTTATGAGTATTTCAGATTTGTTATACGTGTGCCCATATACACACAAGCTGACATATATGTTTACCTTTTTTGTTGTTGTTAAGTCTGAAAGTCTCACTTTCAGTGGTCACTGAAAGTCTCACTGAAAGTGGTCACCGAGTAGCCATAAGATGATAAGTGTTGGGAAAAAAAAGACACTTTTACCCATATGTAATTTTGTATTTGGTTGTTTTCAGAGATGCATTATTTTTGTAATTTAAAAAATTACAAAAAAAAGAAAAATAGGAAACCGCTTCATAAATGCAGAATGAAAAGTAAACGCTTTGCTATTATCTATCTGCCTAATGATTCCTGTTTTAAAAATATTAACAGTGCAAAATATATTGTATATGGATTTAATTTTTTAAGCTGTTAACCAAGAACTAGGTTTCATATATACAGTATTATAGAATACCAAACTAAGCAATGTTATACAAACCATCTTTCTAAAATTACACATAAATTTATAGTTTTAACTTAACAAAAGTCTAAGAAGAATTAATGGCATGTTTCTGCAATTTAACATGTAGTTTTTTTAATAATATTTCAGATTTTTAAATGAGAATTTGGCTTTTCTATAGAATAATATCTAGAAGAGACCTTAAGATGTAAGAATTTAATGGATTTTAATGGAAATTGTAATAAAAATGAAACCTAGGATGCATACATGGAAAAAAGTAAAGATAGCATACTGAAAGAATAAAAAGCCAAAAATTTCACTTACAGTTCATCCCATTTAATAAGATAGAAGAAATTCTTATACGTGCCAACCTTCTTTGATTGAATAGGTTTAAAAAGATCTTTTCCGTTGTGAGATAGGGAACATATCAAGTAGTATTTTTCATAACTAAGAAAAGAAACATTTTAATTTGATTGTTATTTTATAATCCAAATGCATAACATTAGCCATTCTTCTCTAAGAGTGGCTATTATATGAAATTATTTGTTCACCAGTCATTTGAATTTTTGGAAAACATATGAAATTTAACTATTGCAAATTCTACAAAAACAGGGAAGTAGTATAGAAAAGGGAATACGGAAGGCAACATATACCTCCAGGTGCTAGTCTTAGGGGGTCATGCTACAGAACTTAGCACCATTTTGTGCTCAGTTACAAGCTTTAGAAATGGATAATTATTCATTTCTAGGTAAATTCTTAGAAGAAAAAATATAAACATTATCTTCCCTAGGTGATATTTTCCTTTGCTAAGCCACTGAAATTTAGTTAGTTAAGCATATTAATGGGGCTTGGGCCTGACTTGCACTGAGCCAGTCTTTCCAATCTATTAGGAAGCTTCCATCCATGGAATACATGCTATTGTATTCTCATTAGACAGTAAGGATTTAGCCCCTAATTGCCACAAATACAGAGCTGGTTAGATACAGTCAGGCAATCTTGCAGAATAGGAGCCTTAGGTTCTACTAGATTTTAACTTACTGCTAGGCTTACACATTAACCACTTTGTTCATATATGCAATCTGTTAATCATTTAAAATATATTTCAAATTCTAGATCTCATTGGTTCACAAAAGACCCCTAGCTGTCTCTCTTTTCTTCAGCATTTTACTTTCTTTCCATCTTATCACTGCAGTTTTCTGTATTGTCTTCTATTGAGTATTTGTCCTTCTCATTAGTATCCCAAAATTTATTTGTGTGTATATGAGTCTGTATGGAGGATGTGGAAGGTATTATCCCTGTAACATTTTAAAGAATAAAATACCTTCACATAGCAGTAGTACCCATTTAAAGACAAGTTCCTAGAAGGCAGAGATATTTTGTTGCCTTGTTTACTGCTGAATCCCTAGTACGAAGAACACTGCCCAAGATGGTGCTCAGTAAATATTTATTGAATGAGTTAATAGATTGTTTTCAAGTAGTTATATATTATGTTAATCTAAAACTCAACTTAAGCAGAATTTATGTTTGGTATCTCTTCACTAGGCTTTACCTTACTTTATAGCATTGTTACTATGAAACTTTCATTTAAAATTTGAATTCAGGGGCGCCTGGGTGGTCAGTCGGTTAAATGTCAAACTCTTGATCTCGGCTCAGGTCATGATCTCATGGTTTGTGAGATCAAGCCCCACACTGGGCTTTGTGCTGACAGTGTGGAGCCTGTTTGGGATTCATTCTCTCTCTCTCTGCCCCTCCGCTGCTTATGCAAGTGCGCATGCTCTCTCTCTCTCTCTCTCAAAATAAATCAACAAACGTTTTAAACAATTTCAATAGAAGAAATATGCCCTTGTAGACTCCAAAGCCTAGCAATCAGTAAACAGTAAACTACTAAAGAGAAAAAAGTACACTAAAGCCTAGTCTCATCACTATTTCAAATAACCCTGATTCTAAAGGAAAGGCTGAAAAACAGCAGTCATAAATGGACTCATTTGTTAATTAGCATTTACATTTGTAAGTTTAAACATCTATTTTCCTGCCTTCTTTGCATGTAGTAGGAGGGATATTTTTTACAGGAACAGTTTCAAATAGCTCTGTAATTTTTTTTTTTTAATGTTTGTTTATTTTGAGAGAGAGAAAGAGTGTAAGAGAGAGTGAGTAGGGAGGGGTAGAGAGAGAAAGAGAATCCCAAGCAGGCTGCACCCTGTCAGTGCACAGCCCTATGCAGGGCTTGATCCCACGAATCTTGAGATCATGACCTGAGCTAAAATCAAGAGTCCGATGCTTAACCAACTGAGCCACCCAGGCACCCCTTCTCTGTAATTTTTATGAAAACCACAAAGGTATGTGGTAATTCTTGTATCGTCAATTTAAGTATCAAGAGAACAGGGGATGCTGACATTTTACCAGATTAGAACAGTTTCTGGGTTAAGCTGTATATATTTTGTTTTAAACAGTTACTTACTTTGATACCCAATTACTTGAAATCCCATGAGCAGCAAAAATTGTAAACTGGAGCTGTTCTGTTGTTGTCCATGCTTCCTTAACGTTCCTATTACTTTGGGCACAGTCTGCAGGACTCCTACCAGAATTTGCATGGAGTCTGAGAAGATCATAAATTGCTGCAGTTAACTGGTCCATGCTTACGTGAACAGGATTTTCAGGATTCAGTGATCCTAGATTTAAAGAAATTGTTAATATAATTCCCCAAAGAAGCAAAAATTGTTGCTAAAATTTAAAGAACTTAAAGACATACCCCTAGATGAACTCTTACTAGGGTCTCCTTCTCCAGACAGTGAAGTCACCTGCATACATACATACAAATTAGTTGGAAAATTGCCCATGATATAATATAGAATGTTTACCTTTAATTTCAATACATTTAATTAAATGCTTGAACAGGAAACCTCCCAAAAGGTTCTGCAGAATAAAACAAAACAAAAATGTAAAAAGAAAGTGAAACCCCAAACCAAATAAATGATTACTATCAAGAAAATCAGAATAACTGAAAATTAGTGCAAAATATAGAAACTCAACAAAATCTGCCCCATTAAACCAGGTTAGTAATTAAGATTTGAAACCCAAAGCAATAAATACATTAATGATACTTTATATTCTATTAGTTGCTTTACTATTAGTATGATAAGAATATCCCTAAAGAAACTACAACTCTATTTATTACCATTTATGGTCTCAAAAAAGCTCTTATAATTATTTAAATTGAGCTCTCCTCCTACTCCCCACTCCCTTATCCAGCAAATGACTATGATGAATAGAAACCTCAGATAACATTAGGACCATGGTATAGTGGATCATTTCCAAGTTATTTCATATATATATAT